GGTATTTATATCTAGCTTATTCCACTACCCATTCTGTATTCTCTTTGCCCTCAGTAAGCCCCTCAGCTCATGGTTCTTTGCCAGATAAGGTGTCCCAAACTTTCATTTCTCAGTGGGCCATTAGTAGTTCTGCCTGATTTGTAATTTTCCATTGACTTTAATCACAGGACATGAGAGATGTCCTAGGGTATCTCCTATGTTCTGGACACTCTCCTTCCTTCACTGTGTAGTAGCAGCCCAATTTCTCCTTAATATTCAGGACCAATCACCCCCACCACTACAGTGATCTCTTTTTTGCCTATTGAGAGGCATGAGGATCTGAAAGTGGCTGGGGGAGACGGAGTCTCAATTTCCAGGTCAATAGAATTATTGTTGTCTCCTGGTAGAAGCAAAATTTTTGCTAGAGGATCTCTATGGCTAACAGTGAGTAGAGCTACTCCCATTTCCACCCCTTGATTCCTGGACCAGTGAATCCTGACTGTGGGAGAAACAACACTATATACTGAAGGCAGATTTAGAGCATATACAGCTGCTAAGAGTACACTGCACCCACCCTGCAAAGTACCGCCACCTAGGCTGGCACTGTAAATGAATTTTCAAAAGGCCAGTTCACTTCAGGCAACTACTTCAGGATTGTGGGGAAATGGTAGGACCAGTGAATTCCATGTGTTAGCCCATTCACACTCTTTATCTGCTGTGAAGTGAGTTCTTTGACCAGAACCAATGCTGTATGGAATACCATGAGGGTGGATAAGACATTCTGTAAATCCACATATGGTAGTTTTGGCAAAAGCAATGCACGCACTGAAGACAAAACCATATCTAATAGACTAAGTGTCTATTCTCATAGAAACAAAGCACCAATCCTTCCATGATGGGAGACAGGCTTTGCAGTCCTCTGGTTTCCACAGGATTATGTTACTGTTTTGTTTGAGTAACTCTATGGGCTATCAGGGAACTGAAACCTACTTCTCATGAATAAGGCACTATACCTAGTCTCTGATAAGGAGGGTTGTTAGACAAAGAGAAGAGTGGAGAGAACTTGCCAGTATGCCATCTGAAGTCCTGATGGCTTCAAATATCAAGGCACATAATGCTGAATTTTATTCAAAGAAATTATAGCCAAAAACTTCCCAAATCTAGTGAAGGAAATGGACATCCAAATTGAGGAAGCTTAACAGAATCAAGTTAGAGGAATCCAAAGACCTGCACACCAAGAAGCATTATAATCAAATTGTCAAAAGACAAAGGATTTAAAAAAAAAACAACAAAAAAGCGACTTCATGAATAGGGTCCCCCATAAGATTCTGAGGTTTTTCAGTGGAAACCTTGCAGGCCAGAAGGTAGTGGGACAATACACTCAAAGCACTCAAAAAAACTGCCAACCAAGAACACTATATGTGGCAAAACTATCCTTCAAAAGCAAGGGAGAGACAAGGATTTTCCAGATAAACAAAAGCTGAAGTTGTTCATTCACCACTAGACCTTTCTTACAAGAAACGCTAAAGGGAATTCTTCAAGTTGAAAGGAAAGCATGCTAAACAGCAACAGTAGAGCAAATAAAGGTATTATACTCACTGGTCAAGGTAAATATGCAGAAAAATACAGACTACTGAAATACTGTAATAGTGGTGAGAAAATCAATCTAATATAGAATATCATAAATACAGACAAAAATAAAAATATATGAATGTTAAGAGATTCACAATATAAAAAGATGTAAATTTTGACATCAATAACTTAGTGTGTATAGGAAAAGAAGTAAATGTATAAAGCTTTATATACAACTTTCTATCAAAACTAAACCTAGAGGGAGGAGTTAAGATGGCAGAGTAGGGAGACTCTGAGCTTGCCTTATCCCTCAAACACAGATCAACAGGAAACTATTTTGAACTAGGAATACAATCTGAGGATTAAGAAAACAATCTGCACAACTGGAGGGAAAGAACATGGCAGATGTGAGGTTCAGAGTGGTGAATTGGGGAAGAGAAAAGTCGCAAGGCAGCGAAGGGGAGGGAACCCTTTTTGTGGAGCAAAGTCAGGGACAGAGCAGAAGAGAGTGCAGCACATAGGGTTTGCACAATAAGCCACAGTGAGGGGATCCCCTGGGTCACACTAGGAGAGAAGCTCCCCTTCCTGGAGCACATTTGGAAGAGTGTAATTTGCCTCTCCAAAGACAAAAGGCCAGCTGGGAGCCATTGAGTGGAGTTTAATAGCAGGGAAAGAGGTGTGCAGAGAGATCAGATAACCTAGTAGCAGCTTTTCACTATGAGCCACAATAGATTTAAGCCACCATGTGCACACCGAGTGGCTGCTTTTCTGGGACAGAACTGACAGCAGTGACACATGCAGACTGCAGATAACCTGGTTACAGAGTTTCACTGTGTGCCACAATAGACTCAAGCTGCTGTGCAACTGCTCTTCCAGAACAGAACAGAGTAGGGGACTGAGGTGTGCGCAGGCAGCAGATAACTCGGTCACAGCTTTTTGCTGTTCATCACAATAGACTCTAGCCACCATGTGCGCACTGTACAACTGCTTTTCTGGGACAGGATGGTGCCAGGTGTGCCACAAGGCTCTCCTTCAGAGGAAGGAAATGGATCCATACGTTGTCAGGCACTATAAAATTTAGAGTTTTGAATCCTAGCCATTGGCCAGAGATAATATACAGCAGATCTGTGGTGCTGGACATGCTGACAACCCAGGCACAGACAGGTTAAGGGCAGAGATCTGACAGAAGCCTGGGACACAGGAGACTATTCACTTTTCCATGAGGACCTCCTGAAGAATGGCAGCCACGAATTGCCCTCCCCGGGGACAAGAGGGTGGGGTGACGCCATCTTCCTCCTTCATCACCTCTCCCTCTGCCTGCCCACCAGCACAATTAGACTTCAAAGGGAAGCATAGCACCTCCAGTGGAGGCTGGACTCGCTTACACCAAACCCTGCCCCCCTGCACCTGGCAGGGTCATCTTTACAAGGGCAACAGTATTTATGAGCCAGCCCAGAAGAACTCTCCCTCATAAGACCAACACAGGCCCCTGCCATGTACCAAGTCTACTGATTAAAGAGTGCTACAAAGTGTGTGAGCTTCAGTTTTGGTGGAAATAGGACCAGGCTTGCTTTCGTTTTCTTTTTCATTTTTTAAAGTTTTTCATTTTTTTAATTTATTTTTTAACCTTTTATTATATATATATGTACATTTTTCTTTTTTACTTTTTTGGTATCAGGCTTATAATTTCTTATTCACTTCTTGGTTTGTTTCCTTCTCTTATTATTTGGATCAGGCTTTTGATTTTTTTTCTTCTTTCCTTGCTCTTTCACCTTCTTTCTTATTCTTTAGAATCAGGCCTATAGTTTTTTGTTTCTTCGCTTTTTTGTTCCTTTTCCTTTTCTCTGGTCTTGGATCAGGCTTTTTTTTTTTTTTCTTTTCCAAGCTTATCTTAACAAATAAATTAAAGCAAACCTAGTTAATGGTCCAAACACTCCGCAGGCAAGGAGGAACTCTGTAGAGGATGGACCACTGGGAAAGAGCAGCCAAAACTCAACAGCAGAGTGCACACAGCATACACCAGAAACACTTTCTGAAGTGCCAAGCCCTGGACAATGTATGATCTCTTTTTAATACAGCATTACTTTGAGGTGCAGGAAACATAACAAGCTTCATAACACTCAAAATATAGAAACTTAGCCAAAATGACAGGAAGGAGGAATTCTCCCCAAAACAAAGGTCAGGAAGATATCACAGCCACGGACTTGCTCAAAGCAGATATAAGCAATATATCTGAACAAAACGTAGATCAATAGTTACAAGACTACTAGCTGGACTTGAAAAAAAAGCATAGAAGACAGCAGAGAAACACTTGCTGCAGAGATAAATGATGTAAAAACTAGTCAGGCTGATGTAAAAAATGCTGTAACTCAGATGCAAAACAGACGATATAATCACTGCAAGGATTGGAGAAGCAGAGGAGATGAGAGATGACATAGAAGAAAAAAATTACGGAAAATAATGAAGCTGAAGAGAGAAAGAAAACAATTAGATCATGAAGGCAGACTTAGGGAACTCAGCAATTCCATAAACCAAAATGATATCTGTATCACAGGAGTCCCAGAAGAAGAAGAGTGGGAAAAGGGGGCAGAAGGTTTATTTGAACAAATTATAGCTGAGAATTTCCCTAATCTAGGGAAGGAAATAGGCATTCAAGTTGAAGAGGCATAGAGAACTCCCCTCAAAATCAACAAAAACAGGTCAACACCAAGACATACTGTAATGAAACTTACAAAATGCAAAGATAAAGAAAGAATCCTGAAAGCAGCTCAGGAGAAAAAATCCTTAACCTACAAGAGTAGGCACAAAAGGCTGGCAGGAGACCTGTCCACAGAGACGTGGCAAGCCAGAAAGGACTGGCATGATATGTTCACTGTGCTAAATGGGAAAAATATACAGCCAACGATACTTTATCTATAAAGCTGTCATTCAGAATAGAAAAAGAGAGAATTTCCAGGACAAAAACTAAAGGAATTTGTGAACACTAAACCAGCCCGGCAAGAATATTAAAGGGGACCCTTTGAGCAGGGAGAGAGACGAAAAGTAACAAAGACTAGAAAGGAACAGAGACAATATACAGGAACAGTGACTTTACAGGTACATGTAATACAATGGCATTCAATTCATATCTTTCAGTATTCACTCTGAATGTAAATGGACTAACTGATCCAATCAAAAGACATAGGGTACCAGAATGAATTAAAAAAAAAAAAAGACCCATAGATAATTTGCCCATGAGAGACTCATTTAGACCCTAAGACACCTCCGGATTGAAAGTGAGGGGGTAGAGAACAATTAATCATGCCAATGGATGTCAAAAGAAAGCTGGGGTACCCATCCTTATATCAGACAAACTAGATTTTAAACCAAAGACTGTAATAAAAGATGAAAAAGGACACTATATCATAATAAAAGGATCTATCCAGTAAGAAGACCTAACAATTGTAGCCTTTTTCCAGCTGGGCCCCAGCATGGCTGCCCCCAGGGCTGCAGGTCGGGAAGCCTCCACGTTCTTGTTTCCCTGATAGCCCTGGCTTCTGTGCTCTCCTTCCCCTCCCCAGGCCACTCGAGCAGACATGTTTGCCAAGGCCTTTCGGGTCAAGTCCAACACGGCCATCAAGGGGTCGGACAGGAGAAAGCTTCAGGCTGATGTGACCACTGCTTTCCCCACTCTTGGAACAGATCAGGTCTCTGCCTTAGTACCTGGAAAGGAGGAGCTCAACACTGTGAAGTTGTATGCTCACAGAGGGGATGCAGTGACTGTGTACGTATGTGGTGGTAACCCCATCCTATTTGAACTGGAGAAAAATCTATATCCAACAGTATACGCCTTGTGGTCCTATCCTGACCTTCTCCCAACGTTCACAACATGGCCTCTGGTGCTCGAAAAACTGGTCGGGGGAGCAGGTCCTACTGAGAAAATTTACGAAATTATCTTCATGCCAAAAGATAGTTGTTTAAGGAAATCCAGGGGGCCCACAGCAAGAAAATAACTAGCCTCTTTACTTAGGAAAAGGAAAATATACAGGCAATATAATCCATAACTAAATGATTGACAGTTTCAGGACTGGACTGGTTCACTCTAACTGAACTGTTTCTCTAGCTACTTCTGACTGTTAGAGCTGCAGGCTTTAGAGAATTGTTCACCTGCAGATGCTCATAGAGGTCTATCAGAATACATTTAGGTTCTGTATAAACTATATAGAATAAGGAAAACATTCAAAGAATTTTGAAAAGCAGTACATTTCGCCCATTAATAAAACTGGAATAATATAACCACACCAGGTAAAGAAATATTTTAAAATGAAAAAAGTGCTGCCTGTACTTAGAAGGAGCACAGGAAATAGTTTAATTCCTTCCATTTCCAAAGGTGGATTTATTTTTATAATTATACTGATAGTTTTAATTTTGCTTCAAAATGTATGTAACATATTTGACACTTAATATTACACACTAAGACAGTATATGTATGTTTGTGTTACTAAGAATATTTTCACATTTTATATCTCTCCCACTTTGTTTCAGCCAACTCAGTCAAAGCAATAAACATTTTTCAGTGTTAAAAAAAAGAAGAAGAAGACCTAACAATTGTAAATATTTATGCCCCTAACTTGGGAGCAGCCAAATATATAAACCACTAGTAACAAAATTAAAGAAACTCAGTGATAATAATACAATAATAGTAGGGGACTTTAACACCCCACTCACAGCAATGGACAGATCATCTAAGCAGAAAATCAACAAAGAAATGAGGACTTTGAATGACCCACTGGACCAGATGGACTTCACAGATATATACAGAGCATTTCATCCTAAAGCACCAGAATACGCATTCTTCTCGAGTACACATGGAATCTTCTCCACAACAGATCACATACTGCGTCACAAATCAGGTCTCAGCCAGCACAAAAAGACTGAGATTATAATATGCATATCTTTAGACCACAGGTCGTTAAATTTTGAAGTCAACCACAACCACATGGAGGTTAAAGAGCATCTTACTAAATGAATGTGACAATCAGGAAATTAAAGAATTAAAAAAAATACATGGAAGCAAATGAAAATGAAAACATGACAGTTCAAAACCTTTGGGATGCAGCAAAGGTGGTCCTAAGAGGGAAGTATATGGCAATACAGGCCTTCCTCAAGAAACAAGAAACATCTCAAATATACAAGTTAACCTTATACCTAAAGGAGCTGGAGAAAACACAGCAAATTAACCTAAATCAAGCAGGAGAAGAGAAACAACAAAGATTAGAGCAGAAATCAATGAGATAGAAAAACAAACAAACAAACAAACAACAGATCAATAAACTAGGAGCTGGTTTTCTGAAAGAATTAAGAAGATCGATAAACCCTAGCCAGACTTACCAAAAAGAAAAGAGGGCCCAAATAAATAAAATCATTTGAAAGAGATCACAACCCAAAGATATATAAGCAATTGTAAGAACATATTATGAGCAACTATATGCCGACAAACTAGGCAATCTGGAAGAAATGGATGCATTCCTAGAGACATATAAACTACCAAAACTGAAACAGGAAGAAATAGAAAATCTGAACAGACCCATAACAAGCAAGGCAATTGAAGCAGTAATCAAAAACCTCCCAAAAAACAAGAATCTAGGGCCAGATGGCTTCCTAGAGGAATTCTACTAAACATCTAAAGAAGAATTTGTACCTATTCTTCTGAAATTGTTCCCAAAAAACAGAAGTGGAAGGAAAACTTTCAAACTCATTACCTTGGTCCCAAAACCAGACAAAAGACTCCAACAAAAAGAATTACAAACCAGTATCCCTGCTGAACATGGATATCAAAATACCCACCAAGATACTATTCAATAGGATCCAACAGTACACTACAAGGATTATTCACCACAACCAAGTGGGATTTATCCCTGGGCTGCAAGGGTGGTTCAACATTCACAAATCAATCAATCTGATACACCACATTAATAAAAGAAAGGACAAGAACCATATGATCCTCTCAATAGATAGAGAAAAAAATCATTTGACAAAATATAGCATCCTTTCTTGATAAAAACTCTCCACAGTGTAGGGATAGAAGGAACATACCTCAATATCAAAAAAGCTATATATGAAAGACCCATAGTGCCTATCATCTTCAACAGGAACAACTGAAGAGCTTTTCCCGTAAGGTCAGGAACATGACAGGGATGTCCACTCCCACCACTGTTGTTCAACATAGTACTGGATATACCAGCCTCAGCAGTCAGACAACAAAAAAGAAATAAAAGGCATCCAAATCAGCAAAGAAGTCAAACTTTCACTCTTCACAGATGACAAGATACTCTACGTAGAAAACCCGAATGACTCCACAAAAAAATTGCTAGAACTAATACAGGAATTCAGCAAAGTGGCAGGATATAAAAATCAATGGACAAAAGTAAGCTTCATTTCTATACACCAACGACAAAGCCACAGAAAAAGAAATCAAGGAATCGATCCCATTAACAACACCAAAAACCGTAAGAGACCTAGGAATAAACCTAACCAAAGAGGGAAAGAATGTGTACTCTGAACACTATAGAACACTTATGAAAGAAATTGAGGAAGACACACAGAAATCCATGCTCATGGATTGGAAGAAAAAGTATTGTTAAAATGTCTGTGCTGGGGCGCCTGGGTGGCTCAGTTGGTTAAGCGACTGCCTTCGGCTCCGGTCATGATCCCGGAGTCCCAGGATCAAGTCCCACAACAGGCTCCTTGCTGAGCAGGGAGCCTGCTTCTCCCTCTGACCCTCCCCCCTCTCATGTACTCTCTCTCTCATTCTCGCTCTCTCAAATAAATAAATAAATCTTTAAAAAAAAAAATGTCTGTGCTACCCAACGCAATCTACACATTCAATGCAATCCATATCAAAAAGTCACCAGCATTTTTCACAAATCTGGAACAAACAATTCTAAAATTTGTATGGAACCAGAAAACACCCTAAATAGCCTAAGTAATGTTGAAAAGGAAAACCAAAGCTGGAGGCATCACAATTCCAGACTTTGAGCTGTACTACAAGGCTGTAATCATCAAGACAGTATGGTACTGGCACAAAAACAACACATAAATCAATGGAACAGAACAAAGAACTCAGAATTGGACCCTCAATTCTATGGTCAACTAATCTTCAACAAAGCAGGAAAGAATATCCAATGGAAAAAGTCTCTTCAACAAATGATGTTGGGAAAATTGGACATGCAGAAGAATGCAACTATACCATTTTCTTACACCATGCTGAAGAATGAAACTACCATTTTCTTACCATACACAAAAATAAACTCAAAATGGATGAAAGACCTAACTCTGAGACAGAAATCCATCAAAATCCTAGAAGGGAACACAGGCAGCAATCTCTGTGACCTCGGCCACAGTAACTTCTTGCTAGACATGTCTCCAAAGGCAAGGGAAACAAAGGCAAAAATGAACTATTGGGACTTCATCAGGATAAGAAACTTTTGCACAGCAAAGGAAACAGTCAACAAAACTAAAAGTCAATCTACGGGAGAGAGAGTCCAAGATGGCAGAGGAGTAGGAGATCTTAGTTTCGTCTGGTCCCAGGAATTCAGCTAAATAGCTATCAAATCATTCTGAACACCTGCAAACTCAACCAAATATCTAAGAAGAGAATAGCTGCAACTCTACAAATAGAAAAGTGACCACTTTCTGCAAGGTAGGAGGTACAGAGAAGTGAATCTGAGGTGATATTTTGGAAGATAAACCATGGGGGGAGGGAGCCCCTGTCAGCCAGCTATCAGAAAATGATACAGCAGCAGAAAACAAAATCAGAACTTTTAGAAGTCAGCTCCGGTGAGGGACATCCCTGCCTGAAAGGCACTCAGGTGGTGAAGCAGGGCGGAATCCTAGGTGGGAGAGTGTAGTGTCAGGATCCTCAGGGTCATAGGAAGACCGGGGAGCCTGAATGTGGCAGAGTTCTCAGGCATCAGAGCGGGGAAAGCCAGCTGCAATCAGCGAGCCCAGGAGTGGGCTCTCAGCTTGGGGTTGCCATAAACTGCGAACCAAGGCACGGTCAGGCAACTGCTCTCTGAGCAGGGGCCCAACAAGCAGCAGAACCAGCGAGAACCCCCTTCCTTCCCTGGGAGGAGTGGTGCAGGTATGCACCGCAGGAGTCTGCAGGGTTTGGAGACTTGAAATGGGGTCGCGTACCTGAGATATACTCAGTCACAGGCTGAGTTAGCACAGAGTGCAGACAGAGACCAGGGAGACAGGAGTGATTTTTTTCCTGAGGGTGCACTGAGGAGTGGGGCCCCGAGCTCTTGGTTCCAGGGCTGGAGATTGGGAGGTCGCCATTTTCATTCTCATCCTCTAAAGCGGGGTGGAAAGCCTTCAGAGAACAAAAGCCATATAGAGCAATCTGGAACAGATTACTTAGCCTGGCCCCCTGGCAAGGGCGGTGCAATTCTGCCCAGGAAAAACACTTGAAAATCAATGCAACAGGCCCCTCCCCCAGATCAGCAAGAGCATCCAGCTAAAACCAAGTTTACCGATCACTGAGAACTGCAAAACTTCAGCACTAGGGGAATATAGCATATAGAACTCATGGTTTTTCCCCATTCTTTTTTTTCCCCCCAAGATTTTATTCATTTGACAGAGACACAGAGCACAAATAAGAGGAGTGTCAGGCAGAGAGAGAGGGAGAAGCAGGCTCCCCGCTGAACAGGGAGCAAGATGCAGGGCTCGATCCCAGGACTCCAGGGATCATGACCTGAGCCAAAGACAGACACATAATCAACTGAGCCACCAAGGCGCCCCAATAATTCTTTAATCTTTCAATTTTAATTTTCTCTTTCCTTTTTCAACCAATTTCTTATTTTATCAACTTTTAAAAAAATCTTTAATTTTCATTTTTACAGTTACATTCTATCCTTTCATTGTATTTAATTTATATTGTGTATATATATGTGTGTGTTTCTAGTGTATGGCTCTGTTCTCTTCACCTGTCTGATCATATTCTCCTTTTATC